TGCGAAGCTCGCAAAACACGTCCAGCGGCACCCCAAACTGCATGAGCTCGCAAAACAGCATCCACCAGCACCCCAAACTGCATGCCCCCTAGCACCCGGCCATCAATCTCGCAAATCACTTTCCCTTCTTTATTAGAAATTAGAAGCCCTATAGCTTTCAGTTATCTGGGGAATAAGGACGACAACGATTATGATGCGATATAATGACAAGCGTATCATCATCATCATTATCGGCATCTCATCGTCATCGTCATCATCAGCGTTGTCATCATCGATGATAACCATCATCTTGCATCCTTTGCATCACCAACAGTCAGGAGGAAATCATGTCTACGCATCCTCTGCATCTCCAATCAGGTCACAACGATGATGTGATGATGATGAGCATGTCATTATCACCATGATGGTGGTCATTATCGTCATCATCATCATCGTCATCACCGTCATCATCACCGTTGTCATCATGGACGATAACCATCATCGTGCATCCTCTGCATCACCAACAGTCATGCTGATAATCATGACTACGCACCCGCTGCATCTCCAATCGGCTCTAACACCACCTTTGAAACGTACATAAAAAAGAAAAAAAAGATAAGGACGACAAAACATCAACATCAGCATCATCCTCGTCATCGTCATCGTCATCATCACCGTTATCACCATCGACGACAACCATCATCGTGCATCTTCTGCATCACCAGCAGTCATCGTGACAATCATGTCTACACATCCTCTACATCTCCAATCAGGTCACAACGATCGATCGGCTCTAACGCTACTTTTGAAACGTATATTTAAAAAAATAAGGACGACAACGATTATGATGTGATATAATGACAAGCGTGTCATCATCATCATCCTCGTCATCGTCATCGTCATCGTCATCATCACCATTGTCATCATGGACGATAACCATCATCGTGCATCCTCTGCATCACAAACAGTCATGATGATAATCATGACTACGCACCCGCTGCATCTCCAATTCGGCTCTAACGCCCACCTTTGAAACGTAAACGATTATGATGTGATATAATGACAAGCGCATCATCATCATCGTCGTCATCATCAGCATCGTCCTCGTCATCATCACCGTTGTCATCATCGATGATAACCATCATCGTGTATCCTCTGCATCACCAGCAGCCATCATGATAATCGTCGTCATCATCAACATTATTCTCGTCATCGTCATCGTCATCATCACCGTTGTCATCATCGTACATCCTCTGCATCACCAACAATCGGGAGGAAATCATGTCTACTAGGTCATAGCGATGATATGATGATATGATGAGCATGTCATCATCACCATGATGGTGGTCATTATCGTCCTCGTCTTCGTCGTCGTCATTATCACCGTTGTCATCATGGACAATAACCATCATCGTGCATCCTCTGTATCACTAACACTCATGATGATAATTACAATTACGCACCCGCTGCATCTCCAATCGGCTTTAACGCCACTTTTGAAACATATTTTAAAAAGATAAGGACGACAACGATTATGATATGATATAATGATAATCGTGTCATTATCATCATTATCGTCGTTATTATCAGCGTTATCCTCGTCATCGGCATCGTCATCATAACCGTTATCATCATCGATGATAACTATCATCGTGTCGTGTATCCTTTGCATTACTAGCAGTCATTATGATAATCATATCTATGTATCTTTTACATCTTTCAATTAGGTCTTAACGATGATATGATGTTATTATCATCATTATCGTCATCATTATCGTCATCATTATCGTCATCATTATCGTCAGCATCATCAATATCATTATCATCGTCATCATCGTCAACATCATGCTCGTCATTATCATCATCATCATCACCGTTATCATCATCGATGATAACCATCATCGTGCATCCTCTGCATCACTAACAGTCGTGATGATATTCATGTCTACACATCCTCTATATCTCTAATCATGTCACCATGATGGTAATCATCATCACTGCGAATGCAAGTCCCTCCTTGCGGGCAAAATGTCTGGTTCTAACGTAATACTTGAAACACGAACGAAAAACATGGATGACGATAACAATGATTATGATGACGAAAAAGATACGTCTTTGAGGTGCAAAGGATGCTACGATGATGTTGATAACATTGATTCTTCGGCTATGCGCATTTACTAACCAACCTTGGACTTGCCCGTGCGTTTCCCCCTTTGAGGAGAAGGGGTCGGCGGATGTCGGCGGATTTTATGAAATAAAAAGATTATTGGATTTTAGATATATTATTTTAGAATGGAATATTAGATATATTCTCCTATAAATCGGTACGGCCTTAAGGTCGTATTTCTCGTGTACCGGTAAGTTGTTGTAACAGTACCCCGGCGATACGATGCTTAGGTTTCCGGATATTACCCCCCCGCAAATGTCTTTAGAAATTGGCGGCTTTCCGAAAAATTACCGGGCTAAATTTCGGGGAAATTTGGGGACTTGTCCGAGTGCTTTGTATCTCTATATTTCTGTTTTTCTCTGTGTCTCTCAGGGAGCGAGAGAGAGAGAAAAAAAGAAGAAGAAAAAACAACATATTTCTCTCTCTTTCTCTCTTTCTCTCTCTTTTTCTTTTTCGTTTTCTCTCTCTCCTTGGTGCCGCTTTATCGCTCGCAGGATGAGGGATAATTTGAGTAGGTCCTGTTGGGGCATCGGCTAATCTTTCCTGGGCCGGAGGCACTCTTGAAAAACCATTACCTCCACCTTGGGCATTTCCGCTAGCAACAACTCCTCTTGCCATGGGTCTTTCTTTCTCTCTCTGGGTTTTTCTCTTTCTTTGTTTCTCTTTCTTTTATTTTTTTCTTCTTTTTCTTGTTTTCTTTCTGTCTTTGTTTTCTCTTGCTTCTTTCTCTTTATTTTTCTCTCTCTCTTTTTTTCTCTCTCTCTCTCTTTTTTTCTCTTTCTCTCTTTCTTTTTTTCTCTTTCTTCTTTTTCTCTATTTTTTTTCTTTTGGTTCTTGTTTTTTCTCTCGCTTTTTAATTGGGTCTTTCTCTTTCCCTTTTGTTTTTTTTTTCTTATTGTTATTTATTTTTTTTAAAATCTTTTTTTTGCTCTCATTTTTTTCTGTGACTTTCTTATTTGATTTTTTTTAGTTGATATTGTTATTGATGGAATTAATGAGGTTTTTTTGATTAGATATATAGCGAAAAAAATAATATATAAAAAACAATATATATAATTATTTTATTTGAATATATATAATTCTTAAATTAATATATAAATTGAATATAATATTTTATATATTTATATAATAATTATATTTAATATATATATATAATTAAAATTAATATAAATTTAAATATATATTATAAATAATATATATGGTTAAAAAAAAATAAAAAAAAAATGTAATTTATATATATAATAATGTTAAATAGTGTTTTTTTTTAAATTTATTCTTTTAATTTTATGTAATATTAGAAATAGTTCGTTATTTGTAATAATGGTCCATAATAAGAGATAGAGACAGATAGAGATAGGTAGGCAGAGATAAATAGAGATAAATATAGGCAGGTAGAAATAGATAGAGATAGATAGACATAGAAAAAAATAGATATATGTAGCAATAGAAATAGATAGAATTGGATAGAGATAGTAGAGGCAGGCATAAATAGGTAGAGACAAAGACGGGCAAAGGTAGATAGAGACAGGCAGAGACAGATAGAGATAAATAGGCAGAAATAGATAGGACAAAATAGATAGGCAGAAATAGGTAGATAGAAATAGGTAGATAGAAATAGATAGGTAGAGATAAATATAGGCAAGTAGAAATAAATAGGATAAATAGATAAAAGCAAATAGTAAGCAAAGGCAATTAGGTAAAGGAAGATAGAAATAAACAAATTTTTTCAATAAACAAAAATACATAAGTAAAAACAAATATATAAAAATAAATAAATAAAGTGGCAAATAAAATAAATAAATAAAATTAAATAAAGAAACAAATAGAGGCAAATACAAATAAATAAATAAAACATAACTAAATAAACCAAAAAATGGAAATAAATAATTCAATAAATAATAATAAATAATTAAAAACAAAAAACAAAAAACAAAATTAAACAAACAACAACAACCAAATAATAAACAATAAGAAATAAACAATAATAAGCCAAGCAAATACAAATAAAAATATATATTTAAAAATAAATAATAATAATAATAAATAATAATAAATCAAAACACAAATAAAATAAAGTTACAACAAACAAGCGCAAAAATACATAAAAACATACAATTTAAAAAACAACTAAAAACAACTAAACAAACACACAAAAACAAACAAACAAACAAACAAACAAACAAAAAAAAAAAAATATACAAATTAATACAAATATATATATATATATTTAAATAATATATAAAATACAAACAAAAAACATAAAAAACACATAAAAATACAAAATAATAATAATAAAAAAACAAATATACAAAATAACATATAAAAATAAAAAACACAAAAAAACACAAACCAAAAAACAAAAAACAAAAAACTAAAACACTTAAAAACACAACCCTTACACACCCTCCAGAGCACACTAATAAGGTACGAGTAAGCAAAAATAACCATCTCCATATTATCGTTCACCGGATAATGCCCATCAAATTCTTCCATAATTCAAATCTCCAAATATTACCTTCATAAATATTCTCAAATTTTAATAATTTTCCAAACAAATAAAAATTTATTAAAAAAATTAATCAACTTAAAAATAATTAAATTTCCAAAACAACAACATAAATCGCCACTCATCACAAACACAACAATTCGACCAAAATACCATTACAATAAACAACCACACTAATATATAAAAAAATACATCTATTGTTTAATTTATCATACTAAATATATAACATATTAATTTTATTTAGTTTACTTACTTAAATAATTAATAACATAGTTTAATACTTGTGTCATTTCATTTCTAGTATGAGTTATCAAAATATTATGTTTATTCAATCCGTCGGTATTTGTTTCATTGATAACGAGATCCTGCGCAAGGTTCAATAGGTTCAACAATTCAATAGGCTCGAACAGGCTCGAAAGAGGGCTTGAGCTAGTTCGCTAGACCAAAAGGAATTCAACCCTTCTTGAGAGGTGCACCTCACCTCCCTTTGAGCGCCTGCCAGTGTTCTGGTCAACTGAAAGGACGCGGACCTTCAGCTCCTGCCCCTCCTGCCACAGGCACAAAAACGAGGCTAGCGGGCGATGGCCCTAGGCAAAGCTTCAAATGCGCCTTGCTTGTTTAGCTTGTTTGGCTGCAAACTGTGTGGCACATTGAGCCATGTTCGACCATCCATGCGCTGCACACTGGCAAGGTGCTTCCCAGAAAAGGCAAAGGCTGTAATCGCAAACTGAAACTTGAAGACTTCCGGGTGAGTCGACAGGCCATGGCCAGGGATGGAGAGACTCTCTCCTCCACCTCCGCGGAAGGGTCGCCTACACGGCCCTCCTCAGCAACACTTTCGCTGTCTGCGAGTGAAAAGCAGTGCAGCGGATGTGGAGCTTGCATCACTCTGGGGCCCACACGCGCATCTCTGAGATATGTACAAGCCCCACCACCTCCAGCGTCACTCGGTGTTTGTTTGTCCTTGAGGCTCTCAATCGCAAGTGATGTATCTTGGGCCAGCAACAGCAGCCTTCAGCACCCACAACCGCACAAAAACGCTAGGTTCTGCCTCTTGGCAGAAGGCTATCAATCGCTTGCACCAAAAACACCAAGCCGAAAAAGATAACACAAAACAGCTGCTGCGATCGAACCACCAGCCTTGCCCGAGTTCTCAGGCAAATCCATCTGCGGAGGCTCGTATCTTCACCGCAAAAGGGAAGCCAAAGCAGATCGCAAACCCCGCCTCAACAAAGACGCCAAAGGGCGCTGCGTGGTCCACCCTCCCAAGGCAACTTGCTCATGCCGATCCCGTCCCCTCCCCCCAATGTCCGGGCTCATCTGGGCTTGGCAAAGCTTCCTCCGCTTGGGTATAAGCCAGGGACTCTGCTTGCGACAGTTTTGAAAACAAGAAGGATCTAGTTCCAAGCTGTTTCCAACAATTTGTTCCGAAGCACGTGTGGGTGGTCCAACCAGTTTTGACCTGATGTGTCATTTGATACGCCTGCACCTCAGCCCACCCAAACAGTGAAAGCAGGAGGGCAACGTTTACGATGCCAAGGGGAGGACTGAGGCGATTGAGGGGACCGGCCTGGCGGTGAACCACTTACTGGGCGAGACGTCCACCAACGAGGACACGTCCTGAGAGAAGCAAAGGCATTGGTAAGCAAACAGCCAGCGTTTGGCAAATGCCCTGCCAAAATCCGGTTTGGAGGGCTTAACGGGACAGCGCAAAGGAACCTGCACCTTCAGAAGCTCTTTCCATGGGATCCATTCGATCCATTTGATCCATTCGATGTCAAGGCATCAAATATCACCAAATCCATTGGTGCGCCGTCCTGCTCCTCTGCCCGTAGCCGCGCCATGACCTTGCGCATGGAGAGGGTCAACCTGGCAGGCAAGCTGGACGGCCTTGGGTTGCCTCCGTTTTCTGAACGGAACTCCCGCTGCTTTCTCGAAAGCCCTGCACACAAGAACGGACCTGGCGTCGCAGCTACACTTCCTTGCCTCATCTTCGGTTGCCAGTCACCATCACCAGGAAATCGAACCAGCGGAAAAAACACTTCCTACTCCCCATGCTTTTGGCGGGCGCCCCAACTCGGTGGTCTGGTCTCTCTTTCCCAGGCCTCGTGTCAGCATCCATGACCCGCACCATCACGGTTTGGCCCGGCTGGCAGATGCGGAGACAATTGCCGGTCTTCCCATGGGAGAGAAAGCTTTCAAACTGTCTGGTCAAAGCATGTCTGGCTTCTCACGCTGGTGCCCGTCAGGACGTAAAACGCTTGCCAAAGCCCGCCAAAACAAACATGTGCAGCATTGGAAAACAAACAATCATGTAAACTCATGGAAACTGTTGTCGACCTACCGTCAGGCTGTACAGTGAAATCCGACGAAGGAAAACTGACACGCCATGCAGTGCAGTGACAAACACGCACTACGGCGGACATAACACACAAACTCACAGACTAAGACACAGACAGAGACACACACTCACACACGCCCACGTATACGTATATGTATACGCACACGCAAACGCACACGCACACGCACACGCACACACGCACACCCACACCCACACCCACAACACAGACACAGACACACAGACACACAGACACACAGACACAGACACACACACACACACAGATCGAAAGTGCAGGAAAAGTGGAGAATAGGAAATGGTTGACACGCTCGCAAGCGTCTGATTCGCGCCTCCTTTAGTACTTGCTTCTGGCCGTTGCTGTGGCCAAGTAGGCTTGCAGTGGCCGAGGTGCTTGCGAGGGCGCCTTTGCTCTCTTCATTTGGGGATGTACCCAAGCGAAACAAACCGCTTTTAGTTTGTTTGGAGGCGTTGGGCCTCTGCTTCTGACACGGCTCCCTTCCGCTGGGAATCGACTTTCCCTTCCGCTCCTCCAGGACATCTGCCGGGTGCTCCAAGAACCCATCCTAAGCCAATGAGCAGACTCCGACGACCCATTTCGGTGTCAGAGGCCTTCTCTGAAGGCATCCCCAAAATTTCGTCAACCCATCTGAAAAACGCCGTCTTGGGCGAACTTTCCCTCTCAACCACCAGGTGTTTTGACCGCGGTCGCCACGAACCCAAGGCCAAAACACGGCAGAGTTTGGGGAAATTCGGCGAACTCCAACGTGGAATCAATCCCTCGCATGCCTGGATGTGGGAGACCGGCACGTGGCCCTCCACCGGCTCGGTCCCCCCGGGAGGGCTCACCTATCCGTGGACTCAAAGGTGAAACATGGGCCGTGGCATGAATCGGATGAGCCCAAGGCGATGGGTTTTCCCTTGGTTTCCCTCTAAAGTCTTCTGAGATGTTGCTGGTTGAGCTCCAGGTCGAGAGGAAATTCATGGAAGCCAAGGGTCAAAACTGGGCCCAGGTAAAGCGCAGGCCATTCTGCTTGCCAGTTGGTCCAAATCCGTCGAAGCTACACCTGAAAAGAGGTCGTAAAGCACCCGACGCTGGAAAAAGGCAACAATTTGCTGAGACTGGGCACTGGGCCACCGCGCCGTCACAAAGGCGCCACCGTTGTGCAGGCCCTGCCATAAGGGGCCAAGAAGAGAACTCCAAGCAATGCACCGGGCCCAAAGAATTGAACTGTGCACCCAGTCTTTGCGCCAAACTCCACCAACACTTCCCTACATGCCTCACCCACGCCCAGATCAGGTTTCGGTCTTCAGCACGTGTCAGAACCGGGGGGCTTTATCAGGACCCATGCCCCAACCTCGTGGGAGGCGCTGCTTGTGCCAGACGACCATGGGCCAGAGAGCGCAAGTCATGCCAGGCACACTGCCACCTGCCCCTCCAGCCATTCGTCCTTCGGGACCTGCAAAGCCGTGCGTCGAAGTGCGCCTTTCGGCCAAAAGCAGTTGGAAGGAGGTGCCAAAAGACAGAAACGAAAGAAAGGAACTCCGACTGGGTTCCCTTTTGGCCATGATGCCCAGAGATGCCCCCACCCCGCTAGAGGCCTCTCTAAACGGCAGTAGGCTTTCTTCAGGCATCGACTCGTCCACCTCAGCGATCAAATATCGCACAGCCCACAAAAGAGACTACATATGCCTGTCGTGCCAACCTGCATCGGGTCAACCGCAGTTTCATTGCTGGACCGGTTTTCGCCGTGCAATTACCCTCTCCAGGCTTTGGTGAAGGTGGTGCTTTTGCCAGGTTTGGCTTGCACATTGGAGGGCTTCAGAGATGGAGAACAGGTGTTGTTGAGAGGCATACAAAAAAAAGTGCCCCGAGACACACGCGTCATCAGCAGAGAGATTCCAGAGCGGGCCCGTTCTCCCAAGCTTCTGAGCTGCCGCACCATGGTCAAGTCTAAACGCCCTGGCACACTCCAACAGAATCCCTCCCCCTGCCGGATAATTTCATGCAAAAGCACGCGTGTGAAAAGAGAAGGACTTGGAAGCTCTCGCACTGGTTCTGCTGAGTTCAATGCCTTGCCTTTCACCTGCGTGGGTCCCGTCCGCCTCTCTGGAGTGTGCAGACACCTCACCTGCCTTCAACACAAGGCACTGTCCAAGCCCTGGAATACCCAAAGCCTGCAAATCCACAAATAATTAGGGATGATGCTTCGCTTGTGCACGGTTTCTGAGGCAACTCCTCTCTACAGTCCTCTATGATTCTGTCGGCCGTCTCAGGATCCAGCAAGGAATGTGCGCCACATCTAAGGAATGCTCTTAGAGCCGCCAAATGTCATAAATGTTGTCTGCAGAACCTGATAATTGCCCGCCAACTAATCGACCGGGGAGCAAAACAAGCTCCGAATAGTGCTGCGCGATCCCGCCTTGTGGCGAGACTGCCTTCACCCAAACCTGCGGGGGCATGGGCCAGCCAACTGGATGCTGTCATTCGAAGGGGCTGCCGGTTTGCAACTGATTGCAGGCATTTTCAGGCCGGTCACTTCAAGGCGTGTAGCAGTGTCCTTCTCAGCTCAGTCCGCCCGCCTTGACGGTCTGGCCAGGGCGGACAACCTCAGGGCGCCCGCATTCAGTCCCAAAGCAAAAAACAAGGCATCCGGCCCATGCGATTGGCTGAGAGTGCATGGTTGCCATGCCAGACAAGTTTGGGGATCTGGACATGTCTGCCCAGTAGCCGAATCCGGCAGCCAAAGCCATGTAAAAGCTCAGCAGGATACAGGAAGTGTGATGCTGGTCGAGGCACGTCCTGCAAGTTCGGCACAAAGCGAGCGGATACGCGGGAGGTGTGTACCAACCTCGGTGGGCAAACAGCATTCAGAAATGGTTCCAAGGCGAATGCATGCCTCAGACTAGCAGCAAACATATTGCCTCAGCAAACACATGAACTTTTGACCTGACTTCTCCTCAGACCGAGAATAACCGAGCTTGTGCTTGCAGCTTCATACTTGAGCAACATGCTATCCGTGTCGTGGAGTCCTCGCAATGGAAGGTGCACACTAGTCCCTTGTCCTGCCTTGTGAGGAATCTTGGCGAGACGTGCTCCTCCCCCCCTCCCCATGCAATGCTGACTGAACCTGGGCGTCCAGGCCCTTGCTTGTCCGCGCCCACATCCACAAAGCACCCGAGACTGGCGACACAGGCGGCTGGAGCCAATGCCGATTGGGTGCCGCGAAGGGTGCTCTCTCAAAACTAAACTAGGAAACGGCGGCGCAAATACACCTGTGTTTTGGTGGCAAAGATAGGGCTGAGACGCTGAGATGCGGTGCCCACTTTGCGATTGTGAATTCTTGTTGACTGAACAGGAATCAACCTTGCAAGCATGCGCCGCAAGGGCCCAAATGTAAGGACATTATTAGGAACAAGCGACTTTGGCAGCAAGCCATCTCTTGAAGCAGCCAACGAGGCAACCTCGCCAGACCAAATGTTGGTGAACCATCCCAAGATTCACAGGGCTTGACTCTACACGGTGCAGCCCTAAGCCGACCCTGTGCCCTCTGGCGCCGCGCCGTGTTCGTTTCTTACTTTCTGTGTCCCTCAACCCTGAGTCAGGTTGGGTCACCTCATCATCAAGGATTCAGGTCAGCATATGCTACCCCTGACGATGCCTACCCCAACATGTATTATTCCCAAACCTGAACTATGGCATCTCCAAGTACGGCACCTTCATTGTGGTACGCAAACTCAGTTCGACATGGGCGAGGAGTAAAACTTTGGACTGCCTTTTTCAGAATGGTGCTTGAAGGGAAACCGAAATCACTGTTATTGCAGGCTATTGCAGGGCTCTCCTTTTCAAAACTTCCCCTTCTTGAAAATCAAGAGGACCTCCCCCGTCCGCCGTATTCAACTTCGAGCGATCGGGGCGACGGATCCTGGGGCCGCGGGCTCCTCCATCACCCGCACCACCACGCCGGTGAGCTCTTGGCCCACCTGCAGATCCTCAAAAATCCCAAGGCAGGCAGGCACGCGAGCAGGCAGGCGGGCACAGGCAGGCACAGGCAGGCAGGCGCAGGCAGGCAGGCAGGGGTGTGTACGTATACATATCATATATACGTATTTGTATATGTTTATGTATATGGGTATGTATATGTATATGTATGCGTATATATTTTGCAGAATACTCTTTTCACCTTGGTTTCCAGGGAAACCAATGGGAAGATAGTTCTACACATATCCAAGTGAGAAATGTGAAACAAGGTACGGAACTCTTCGAAGTGGAAGGTGTCCATTTTGCAGCCAGCCAAACTTAGTGTCCCTTTGTTCCTCCTTCACAACTCCCTGTTTCGGTTCGGATTGTCGCTCGGACCAGCAAAGAGGATCCTAGACCAACCCAAGTATTAAGTCTGCGTAACACGGGGTAACTGGTGCTTGGGGCAGACACCCTCCGCGCTGGAAGCATCTGGCCAACCACCGCTGTCGCGTTATTTGCCCAATGCAGCCTTGGCCGCTATACTTCCAATGGTGAAAACTGGGCACGAGCTGCAGTGGTGAACAACTGGGCACGAGCTGCGTTTCTGAGTTTCGTCTACAAGACGCTTCCCATCTTTTGAGGAAAGGGAGCCGCGCCTGGACGCTCAGCTCACTGGGCATTTCGTCGCTCCAGGCCTCCTGAAAGGGACAGTGGCGGTTGAGCTCGGCGCCCCGAGTGGCCACGGCTTATTTTAAGACCGCCTGTGCCTCGCTTTCGACCAGGCTACAGGACTCCACCAATTCAGAGACGCCCCTTCATCACATGCACCCTCAGGGAGCCCATCTGACCTGACTTTGTGATAAGGACGTCCTATTCCTCGCATCCCTCGTCTGCTCCTCGCTGAAAATCGGCTCCCCAATCTCGCCAGCCTTGGATCAGAGCCAAAAGAGGCAGCGTGGCAAAATGTGGCTCCTATCCCATTTGTGGCGGACATTTGGCCAACTGCCTCTAGAAAGTCCGGTTGTAACCGACAGCTGTGCTCGAAGCAAAAGGCCGGGGGAAGGCTGACGAGAGATCAGCGTTGGTCGCCGTTCGGGGCTTTGATTGCTGTTAGTAGGAGTGTTGATTGTAGGTGTTTTTTTTCCCGAAACATTTGATGGAGAAATGAGGAAGGGCGCCGCTATGGATGCATCCGCCGCCCGCACCAAGCACCCAGCAATCTCTGGCGATCTCGCTGCCCTGAAACCGCTGCCGACGATTGCCGCGTGCAAGTTTCAGGCCGAGAGAAGAAGAAAAAAGCGAGAGAGAGAAAAAAGAAAGAAAGAAAGAAAGAAAGAAAGAAACAAACAGAAAAGAAAGAAAGAATTCAAGAATTCAAGAAAGACAAAGAGAGAGACAGAGAGAAAGAGAGAGAAAGAGAGAGAAAGAGAGAGAAAGAGAGAGAAAGAGAGAGAAAGAGAGAGAAAGAGAGAGAAAGAGAGAGAAAGAGAGAGAAAGAGAGAGAAAGAGAGAGAAAGAGAGAGAGAGAAAGAGAGAACAACAACAGGATAGAAAGAGTAATGATCATTCAGCGTAGCTGCTGATGGCAGCTTTCTTGCCCCACTCCGAGGCCCAATCCCCCATCATCTTGTGCAGTTGCGAGGGCGCAACGAATGGCCACGACCGGCAACAAATGTTCCGGGTTTACAAGAAAGCACCCCCCAGACCACCCTCGGCATCGACGGCATGGACAGTGAAGAGCAGGCTAAGTCTTGGCTGGCGCGGCACCGCTTTTGTCTTGAAGCCGAAGCAGTGTGAGGCCTGTGGCCACAGCGAGAGCCGCACGCCACACTGGCGCTTTTCGGCTGCAGAGGCAGCGGGGCTGCAGGCAGCGTGTGCACTTTGTTCCGGCGTCAGCTTGAGCTGGACTGCGGGCTCCGCCTGAAACAGGCAGGTCATTTTGTGGACACTTTGGATGCCCTGGAGGCCAAAACTGGCGCTCCCCGAAAGGAAACCTCGAATTGGATGTGGAGGCTTTGGGGCGATTCCATGTGAAAGACGCTTCCGCGGTCTTCACAAGGGCATTCGTGAACCTGAAGAGAAGCCCCTGCCCAGTCCTTTGCCGTGCATTTGCGAGTTCTGGGCACCAAAGGAGAGGATGTAAATCTGCACTCGTCAGAACTGAGGGTGCTTTGGCAGACGGTAAACGGCTTTACACGTCGTGTATTGCACTTTACTGTCCGGTACTTGTCTTGATGGCATTTGCGTTTCCAAAAGTACTTCTCCAGCTCTGCATCCTAGGTGACGCTGCCTGGCGCTCGCATGGGCACTGAGAGCGCCTCGGAAAATGCGCGCAGCGGGCTTTTCCAGAAGATCAGACACCAGGACAAGAAGCGGACTTGTGTGTATGCGGACGGCCTAGCTTGGCAAAGCCAGGCCAGGAAGCATCAAGGTTGCTGCAGGGACACCCAGACAAGGGGTTCAACGAAGAAAGAGTAGCACGGCCCCAACCCCGGCAAGAATGACGAGTTCAGATATTTGGGAATGTGTCAAAATGGGGGACTCCCAGAATGATGGTGCTCCTCTTTACTTCCCTTTAAACCAACCTTCAACCGGGCAATTCCCCTCAAACAACACACTCCCATTTGGGCAATCGCAGTCCAAATCCTCGGCTGTTCACCCCACAGGAATCCCCCCCCTCCCAGACAGCCCGCCCGCCTAGGCACCACCGCGAAGGCCTGCCACGACTTTGGTGAGGTCCGTGGTATGGCCAAACTTGAGCGGCAAGAAAGGAATTCGGGAGTTTTACATGCTACCGGCAGGCAATCTTTTGCTGCGTGCCTTCAGCCGTGTCTCAAACGTAGAGACCCAAAAGGCCTCCTTTTCCAGGAAGTGTCTCCAACCATTTGCAGGCGACCGAAACTGTTGCCTTCCTTTTGCAGGTAGATCACCCAACAGGGAGTTGATTTCCCTCTTCACCTCCTTTACCGTGGGCGGCCTATTTTGAGCTCCATTTCCGCCTGTCCGCTGATGAGTGCGTTGCTTCAAAACAAATTGCCATCCGCCATCTGCCATCCGTTCTGGCGAGCCCCACGCCTCACGTTTCATTTTTGTCAAACGAGCAATTGCCTGTGGCTTCCCCTTCTTAACCATCGAGACAAGCGTGCTGGCGTGCTTGCCCGATTTTGGGGCATCCCCTAGCTTTGCGCTGGGTCGCCCGCCCGCCTGCCGGAGCGCGACGGATGCGCAGCCTGGCCGGACGTACCACTTTGCTTGTCTAAGCATCACCTTTGGGGCTACTCCCCTGATTAAGGTGGAACCTGAAGCCCACATTTGCAAAGGAATCTCCTTTGAGGGGATTGTGAGTGATTTTTTGTATCGGTGATGTAGAAGCAAAAAGGAAGCGGAGTGCTCAGAAGGGAGTCGAAAACTGCAAAATATCGGCATCGCACTTGACGGGCATCCGGCAAGGGTAGGTCGCTGAGAAAGGCCAAAAATGGGTGGCCAGCACAGCTTTCCATGGCTCCAGGTGCAAAAAGATTCCACCTCCAAGCACCGAGGCAGTGTCAGGATCAAGGGGCCCCAGTGCCCAGCCTTGGAAGGCAGCCCGCTTTTCTGACCGTCTCACTCATTGAATCGATCCATCGGGCCTCTGGCCCGAAACGAAATCAGAAAGCCGGGAGAAAGCTTCCAAGTGGGCCCTGAAAGCAGTCAGAAAGATTGGGTCCCAGAACCACACCCAGCCATGGTCCTCTTCCTCCACCCTTTCCGCCCACTCACAGGCAGGCCCCGATCCATTCCCAACGGAAACGGCTTAGCCACGGGGTCGTTGAACGGAGGCCGCGGCCCCGGCATGTTGGCCTAAAGTTCTGAACCTGGACATGGCCCTTTGGGACCCGTCCATCCGATCGCACATTTTTGGGGCATCAAGTCTAGCCGCCCAGGAAGCGGCCCACGGTCTGCTCAAAGAGCTCTTGCATCTCCTCCGGTGTGATCTTGGCCTCAGGGGCTCGGCGAACACCACACACGGGAAGAATTATGGCAGCCGTGGTTCCCCCACCCTCTGGATTTAGTATCTCATGTCAGCGACCCCATGAGAACCACGCCGTCATGGCCACGCTGTCCCTTTCACAAGGGCGACTTTGGAACTGAGCCGCAAACTTGCGACAGTATCTGCCTGACTTAGATAGGGCTTGCTTGGTGCAACAGAAATCTCCAAAGAACCTTCAAACACCTCTCCAGCACCAGTCCCCTGTTGTACCGTCCAAACGGAAAGCACTCCAGATTGACTCTGGATCTCAAATGATGCAATTCTCACATCTTCCAGCTCCAGTTGGGTGCTTCATTTATATCCTACAATCCCCACCCCCCACCCACCCCCCACAAATCCTAGTCTCCTTTTGGTTTCCCTGAAGCCCTCAGCCAGGCCTCTGCCTGCTGCATGACCTCTGTCCGCGCCTTCAGCGCTGCCAGCCTGACTTCGCTTCGGCTGCCGGCTTTCGGCTCGCCTCTCGTTCTTGCGTTTGTTGACTGTGCAATTGTCTGGTCGTGTCCACACTCTTGCTCCACCACATTACTAATACAGGATTTAGCTGTGGTTGAGTGGACCGTGGAGGCTTGTGGACCATCCCTTCTCCTGCCTCTGGAAAATAGAGAAATGGAAGCGTGGAGGGATACAGAGCTTATAGCTGTCTTCAAGAGACTCAGTACCTTGCAGCACCTGTAAATATCAAGATTATGCTAGCCATCTCCATTCCGTTTCCCATTCCCTCCTTTTCGCCAGCTCAGAGTACAGATATTAAGAAGATGAATGGGAGGGATAAGGGATGGCCTCTCTTTCTCCTTCACCGGCTCCCTCGTTACCTTCTCTAACATAGTAATCTTGGGCATTGGATGGGAACCGTGAAAGATAGAAACAAAGAAAGAGAAAGGGAGTGAGGGCCGATACACCCAACCTAAAGATTCTTGGCGATGCCCCACCGTTCACTCTCTTGCTTCCTCCGCCTCCCTTCATTCGCTAGCACCCACGTGGCGGAGGTGGGTAAAGAGGAGATGAGGGACGAAGGAATAGACGGAGAGATTATCAAGTGAGAGACGGCACCTTCCGCCGCTGGCAGTTCTCAGAGTTCAACCGCTCCGGGAATCGACGAACACCTATCCTTCGCCCCGCCCCCTGGCCTCTCTGCGGGCATGAGGCCATCCGCTTCGAACTTGCCTTCGCCACCTGTGCGCCATGAGGGTGACTTGGCAAATCAATCGGCCCTTCTCCCAAATGCTGCCAGGTTGGCTATCCCTAAACGGACTGAACTACAGATCAGTTATTCACATAATTCATGCATGGGTACCCAAGTCGGTCGCCTGCGCTGGGATCCCCGGTCTTCACCGGGTCCACGGCGCTGCGGGTGCCGTTCACGTGGACCACCAGCACTTTGATGGCCATACCTCGACTCCCCGACTCCCCGACTCCCCAATTTGCCCATGGGCGGTTTGGCCGGTTTAGCTGGGCTGGCTCGAAATGGCTCGACCTTCGCCCGAAAAGTAGATGCGGCCTTTCGAAGGCCAAGGGGAAACGGCGTTGGACAATGGGAGGGCTCATCACATAGATCCAACTAGCCCCAAGCCCGAGACCCGGCCATCGATTCCGAATGCCGTCAAGTTTCTGATGTTGGTGCCGTCTTTGCTCCAAGCCTGGCTTGCAACGCAACACATGCTGCACATATGCTTAAAAATATATTATTATTTTGGATGCTCTTGGAGGGAGAAAACACACACACACACAATCCTGCTTCGTCTCATTGGGTCAAGTGCAAAGGTGAACAGCGCCAGCCGCAACTAGGACCATCGGTGCTACTGAATCAGTAGCCCTAAACATCGCAAGCAAATTGGGAACCACAACATGGTGCCGTATCTCACAACATGGTGCGGGGAGCATCTCCAACATCACAAGTCATCACCCACAGCCTTGCTCCCGCCCGGCACCTCACGGTCTCACCCCACCTTCTCCGAGTCCCCGAAGAAGCCTCCGGCACCAAAGGCACTGTAGCCCAACGCCTCAGCGGCAAACCAGCTGCCAAAGCTGGCATTGAACGTGTGCTTCTTTCTCTCACTCTTCTTTGTCTGCTTCTTCTTCTTCTGCCTCTTCTTCGTCTGCTTCTTCTGCCTTGAGCTAGCTTAAGAGGGTTCGTCCCTCTGCCAGCAGGTGCTTGCCCCACTAGACCCCCTGCACGAGGGTGCCGTGCAAGTTTAGCTGGGCAGACGCGAGGCTTGACGGCGACAGAGCCAAAAAAAAAGCAAAGGGCTCAAGCGATTCTTCAGTCACTGGTACTGGGAGCTCCTGCGCTTGCGTCCAGTAGATTCTGGGGGACCTCCACCTCCTGGCCAGGACGGGTCCAGAGACAGGTCGAACTACCTCCAGAGCAAACTTTGGGCGCATCTGGCACGCTTGCTGGGCCTGGGCAAATATCTGGATGCCTGGAATGCGACCCTCCAGTTTTAGCCCGCCCAAGACCCAAAGTGTCCAGGCCCTAGCGAACACCCCCCCACCCCCAACACCCACCCACCCACCCACCCACCCACCCAACCCACCCAACCCACCCAACCCACCCACCCACTCACTCACCCATTATTTGGCACCAATGGATAACGCCCTGTTGGGATAAACCAAACCCAACCAACTAAGTCACTAGCGGATGTGAACGCCCAGTCCATGGCATGGCAAAGGAAATTCGTAGCTGGCGAGATGCCAAACACAATTCGCCGAGGCGACCGAGGCCATGAGGCCCCCGGTGAAGCCAAAGGAGCGCGCTACGCTCGCAAAGGCCTACCGACGGACCGGAGCATGATTTGCTTTCCCTTTAAATGCAAACCACCAACCACACCACAAAGGTTAAAAAGAGAAAAACATCACCTTATACCTGAATGTAGTTTTTTGGGGGGTAGTGGGAAACCATCTTAGACAGAGGTGACACATGTCCTCCACAAGCTAACAACGGGCTAGCAGCAACTTCGTCAGTCGCTCTCATGCCAAATTGGCAAATTGACAAAATTTGGGGCACCGTTGAGGATCCTCTTCGGGGCCTGCCTGTATTGAGGCTCAAGCTTGTCAACCCCCGAATTGTTTTTGGGTACGTCCCCCAATGCACAAGGTTTGCAATGAGCTGCCTTCGTCTCAAGCTGCTCAAGCTCTGTCAAACATGCAAGCCATTGTTGATTTGCACCCTTTCAGGGCAAACGTCGCTCTCCCTCCCTCGTTTGCTCAATTGTTGGAGCATGCTCACGCTGCCAAAGTGCGGAATCCTGGCAGGCTCTATCTTCCGAGGTCAGCAAACTTCCAGATTGTGACTTGCCTACCCAGCCAAGGGAAACAAGGCACACCCAGCAAACCACCCAAACTGGAACACCCTGCGTGCCACTGCCCCCGCCCCAACCGCCCCCGCCTCCAGTGGGCCGGAGTCTTGCCTCGCCGAGCCCACGACTTCCAGGACCCCTTGGCCCTGGCGGCACGGAAACCGGGGCGGGCTGGGCCACCCTTTGAAGACTTCACCAAAGAAAATGACTTTACATTGCTCCAAATGAAAATAGTTCAGATGGTTTGCAGGGCAATAAGGAGACCACCACTGGTCCTGCGCACCTTTTCTGCCCTCAGTCCGACGGCCTAACTGAAAGGACTGATGAATGACTGACTGACCGACCGACTGACCCCACTAAAGCAACACACACACACACACACACAACTGCACATGGGTCCAGCAACCCTTGGAGCGGTGCGGCGGCAACTTTCTCTTGCTAGTCATGGGGACTTACGTTGAATAGCCCCTGTGGATTAAAAAGGTCGCAACGACGTCTATAAGGAATTGCGTAAGGAAATCCGCAAAGCAAATCACTGCCATTGCATCTGCTGCATCTGCAAGAGTCAAACTCATCCTGACCACCCTCCAGTTGACAAAATGCCCGCCTATCCCCACGTGACATGTTCGGGGGAAGACGCGGGATGCGAAGCGTGCGATTCGCACGGGCCCGTTCTATAGCGGGAGTAAAGGAGGGCTGGGTTGTCGATGGAACCCAGCAATCAGCTCCTGCAAGACGTCACTTCGTTGCAAAGGTCTCTCCCAGCCGAATGTCCCAAAGACAGTGATCAACATGGGTCAACATACAGGCTTTCCCCCTCAAACTGAAGCACCTCTCCATCCTCACTCCTTGGCTTGTTTGAAGGAACCGAGAAAATCCCGCAACGTGCGCCGGACCACCTTGT